CTGCTTCTGGTAAAAAAAACACAGGTTTATTTATTATATAAGCGTAATGTTTCACTTTTGCTCTCGAGGTTAGTTTATAATTATTTTGTGATTTTTAAGAGTTAAAGAGGATTTTAATTCATTACCCACCTCAGACTTTATGAACGAGGAGGCGTTCATGAGCTCAGTTAATTTAAGTTAATCAGATTAAATATATTTCACACACACTGCAGATAAATCCTCTTTAAATAAACATTTTATTCTTTAGTTTTTACTCTTTATTATATATATAACACAAAAGATTTAAACGCATTAATCTCACTTATTCTCTACCATCCGAACAGAGCTGCTGTTTTAAACCACTCACTGTATTTTGACAGATTGAACGTCGTCGTTTATTTACACTACAGTATTTCAGCTGTATAACTGCGGCCTTTCTGCGTACTGTTGCCCGTCTGTCGCCTGTTTGAGTCCTTTCAACATCCCGTCTCTGCTCTGATCGCCTCCTCGCCTCTCTTAAAGTTCGCTGTCCGATCTTTACGATGTGACTCGAGCTCTGAGCACATCTCACGTGTTCAGAAACAGTTTTATTGTTCACACATCGACCTTCACTGATGTGCTTTCACTTATCAGGTTAACTGGCGTGTTCGCTCACTTTGACGCCGCGTGTTTGAAGCCGTACGAACTGTGTCGAGAGGAAATATCGTACCGCTGAAGAACTACCTGATATTTAATGTGCCGTTATTGTTACAGGTGTTTCCCTGAGCAGGTTTACAGCGAGTCGTTGGTTGTTAACATGAACGAGGGGAGCAGCCGGTTAATGATTGTACGAGAGAATTAATCAGCAGGAAACTTTAATTTCTTATTTTCCTCAGCTGCTATAAACAGACACGAGATCAGTGTTTGTTTCTTTTTTTATAGTTTAATAAACGTTGTGGTTCATGTTGTTGTGTGTGTTTACTGTGCAGTCTGATACGACAGATCTATAATAAATAAAACAGTTGGAATCATAATGTTTGAACGGCTCGGTTAAAAACTGCTGAATTTATATTTTAACATCTCTTTTCCTCTTTTGTACAAACAATCAGCACAAAGCCGAATAATTAAAGATTTCTACTTTTATCTTTGAATCATTCAGAATAATTAAAATGTTTTTTACCTTGGTGGATATTAAACACAACAACCAGTGAGCCGATGTTTATACCGACAGGTGTGTGGATTGATTGATTGATTGATTGATTGATTGATTGTATCCCAAACATGAACCCTGCTGCTGTCCAGAGTCAGACCTGTTAACAGCAGTGAAGGTAACGATCACATCAGTCTGGTTCGGTTTAATCTCGGATTCAAAAACATGTTTGATATAATTTAATTCTTTAACTTTCAAAAGCAACAAAGCATCGAACGTTTATTTTAATGATCG